ACCTAGTCTACACAACAGTCTTCTGTCAGCTGAACTCTGGGTGTGCCCTAGCTCAGGGCTTCTTTGTGGCAGTTAAACTCCCTCTTTCTGCCAGCCCTTACAACACCTGCTTTAAGCAAAAGAAAGCTTCTGCCGCCATCTGGCAGCCAGCAGAAGGTACTTGTAGACATTCCAGCACCTTCTGCCAGCTGCTACAGTCCATTCAAAAGCTGCTAACTTCCCAGGAGGCACTTTTGGCAGCAAAGCTGATGAGTGGAGTCATGTAGCGCTGCCAGAAGCATGTAGATGTACCCAGGCATTATTAACTTGGCAGTGGCAGCTGCTTTCTGCCAGCACAACCAGGTAAGTACAGGTTAAGTCTGCAGCAACTTCAACCCCAAATCTACTGCCCACATAACCATGTTGGAAGGGAAAAAAAATCCTTAAGAAAATATGAAGCATATACCATGAAGACCCCTTTGTCCTTTCCATCAAGACATGTCATGGTCCAGGCTGAATGTGCAAGCTTAACTTTCCTGCCATAGGCAAATCAGTTATTATGGTTAGTTACTTGCATCACAGCAGTGCCCGAGGCCTCCATTAGGGATGGGTGCTGTACAGACACAAAAGAAGACAAATGCCCAGAAGATTTTGCAGTCTTACATGACACCAGATATGAGGAGTGTTACAAGTAGCAGGGAAGGAGAACAAGAAAACACTGATAAGATCATGGAGCTGCATAGTTTAATGATGTGCACAGCCTAATTACATGAGCACATGCTGCTTCCTAAATAATACAATAATTTCTTCTTCTTCTTCTATTTTACAGCTACCTCAATCCATTATCCTGTAGCGCTGTGCATTTCTCTCTGCACCGCCAAATACAAGGACTCCATTTGAGTCATTTATAGAATCATAGTTTTGAGCCTGAAGGGATCATTAGCTCATCAGATCTGATCTCCTACATAACACAGGCCAGCATATTTCATCCAACTGCATACACAAAGTTCACAACGAACTCCTCTTATCCAACACAGAATAACAGTGAAAAGCTCCTGGCTTAGACAAACCACTAAAAACGTGCAGTTTAGATAGCATCATTTTTCACTCAGCTCTGGAGCAGCCTTGGACATGAACTGACCTCTCCTGAAACATTCATTGTAGAGAAAACTAGCAACATTATCTACCGGGCCCTTAGGGCAGAGGCATCAGCACAAAACAGAAAAGATAAAACAGGAGTAAAGATGCAATAGGCAAGAATCCAAAAAGAGTGGAAAGGAAACTGTATGAGATGGCATTGGATTATTTGAGAAAAGCATGGGACTGTGACTGAAGTTTGTACTGGAGCCAGGCAGGCAGCAGAGTGAAGGCTGCCCAAAATGGAGGTGTTTCAAACCTAGGAGAACATTCATTGTATATACAAACCTTCATATTACCCTTCCCAGCTTTTCTAGGTGGAGTTCACTAGAGAAAGTAAAAGCAGAAGGGAGTGGAACAGAGAGCAACAAACTGTATCAGCCCAAGTGTAGATCAGTGCCAGTCTTCAGGTGTTGCTGGGGGAGGCAGTGGACTGGCACTCTGTAGAGCACCTCTGTGGCATTGATGAAGAATACATGCAGTATGCCAGGCTCATAGTTGTCCATGGGTGCATGTCTGGATCACCACCTTTCATCATGCCCCAGACATTCTCCACAGGCCTACCACTTCTGACATCAGAAGCTGACACTGAGGAGGAAAACCAAAATCCAGTTCTCTCCAAGGCTTACACCTGGGTATGCTTATGCAGCAATCTGGAGTAGAAGGAGCTATTTGGCAAATTCCTAACAGTGACCAAACTGAACACAGTGAATTGTAGACTACACTGTGTTCAGCTTGGGTCAGCGAGGCAGAGAAACTTGGAATATCTATAAAAAAATCATGTCTTGTCACTGAGGAAGGAACCGAGACTTAACTGTGACATCAGTCCTATAAAGTGCCAAGAGCACTTTATTCCAAAAAAGAATGCGGTACAGTAACAGGATTCTGCTACCAAAGGAAGCGGGTCACAGAATAAATGTAGTAACCCATACAAGGGCCCTGGATTTACAAGCAGAATATTTTGACTTGGGAATCAGGAGGGAAGGACAAATATAACATTACCTAGTAACCAGGATTTTAAACAAGGAGCTCTCTGAATTATTATAATACATCTGAGCTTCAGCTGGAATGGGTGATACAACTTGACTGTCTAGGTAAGTGAGGAAAAATGCAAATCACCGTACAAGAAAGTACTGAAAGTATAGTGTGAGTGGTAGAAAAGAAAATGTTCTCGTATGGGGAAAAGGAAAAACTGTCAAAGAAAGCCTCTTTAGAACACTTAGTGTCCAAGAAACACTGAGTTTCCTGGACAAAAATGAGGCAGGTGTAGCAAAGGCAAACACAACGGTAGATGAGGTTGAGTCATGGGAGTCTGGTGGGCTGAAGAGAAAGTCACAATTCAAAGACTCTCTAGCACCTAAGGCAGTAAAACTACATAAGGCTTGTTTCAGGAAAGACAATGCGTTAACCTTGTTAACTATTCTTCTAGACAGGCACTAACCCTTCCCCCCCAGCCCCAATCCAACAAGTCACAGTAAGTTATAAAGGTGACTTTCCTTGTCCTGCTCTCCAAAAGTATAAACAGTAAGCCATAATTTGCCAGCTCTGAACTCCAAGCTTTTGGGATCAATTAAATGTAAAGCATATTACTTCCGGGCCTCCCCAGTTCACAAGGGAATAGCTTGCTGGAGGGAGCAGTATAGATTGCTAAGGGAATTTTCCAACATACTGGGTGCATCTTCACATTCATTAATGTGCCTTTGCTACTGCACATTTAGTACCTCTAATATGAAGTACTAGATAAAGGTGCAGTAGCTGTATTAATGCGCAGTAGCAAAGGCATACTTTTTTGTGACAATGCACAGTAGACTAATTCTAGTGCGCATTAGCACATTAGCACCATTTTTGCTGTGACACACTAATGCTCAGCGGAACAGTCCACTGCACATGAAGGTGTTTTGTGTAGACACGTCCACTGGCTATGTGTTAGCACTAGCGAGCTGTGAAGCAGAGCCCACACCAATCACTTCAGTGGGGCAAATTCAGCTACTTTGGGTCAAAAGAACAGAACAACTACCAAACTCACAGATAAATGTTCATCCTATGTAGCATTACTTAGTGGTTGGGAGATGGCACTACAAAGAGATCTAAGCTTCAGCCATCTGAAATCAACCTGAACCAAGATACCCAGTTCTGATAAAGCTGCATGAGGATAAAAAGGGACACCTGCTGTTTTCACTGGAATTAGCTGCAGCCCAAGAACGTGGCTGAGAATGATAAGGGAATTTGTGATTAGAGAAGGAGGCAGCAACTATCCAGCTGGTACCCTGATCCCATGTGATCCTACTGGCAAGGCTGGTCACCCCACAGTCTTAGTGAAGGGACACTGTTCTTCTGAGAAGAGACTGATGCTGACAGATCAGAATTTGCTAATATAACTGAATCACCTGGAACCCCACCTCCTCCAAAGCTGCCATGTGAACAGAGTTGGATAGGTGGAGAAGACAGAGCCACTTCTGGATCCATAACCTATTGATAACTATCAGCTACTGATAAATATTTTAAAAAATAGGGAAGAAGCATGGTGGTGGATTCCCCTTCTTTAAAGCTGTTGTATGAAGACAGGTGGGGCAAAGCAGGGAAAGATTTATGGCAAAGTGCAGCACAGATGAAAAGGGAGAGAACTTTAGGAATTAAGCTGCTTCCACTGTTGTAGCAGAGTTTCTTGTTCAGTGTTAAAAGAAAGCTCTGTGATTCTCCCCTATGATCACATAACAGAGGGTAATATGCCCCACAGCCAGCTTTCTCCACCACATCTCATGGCTATAGGAGACTGGTAATCCTGATCTGGGAGAGCAGGTTCAACAGCAACACTAAGCCAGCAGAGAGGGCAGTGAGGAGGATCCCTAGCAGGAGAGCAGAGAGAGGGATGTAAGGAGAGGGAGGGCCCCAGGGCCAAGGGCTCTGTCAGCACTGGGTATGATGTCATCATTGAGGAGAATTTCCTCCTCAGCAGACCAGCTAACTGCCAAGTGCCCCCATCCCACCTCCTCAGTATCATGGCCAGAGATTGCAGCTGGAGGTAGCTCTGTCAGACAAGTTAAAAGTAGACTCCCCTGGCTGAGCCAGCAGGAGCCATATGGAGCTGGAGGCTACTGCATGTAGACCTTACAAGGGGCCCATTATGGGGAGACAGAGCCAAGAGGCCAGGTACCTGCAGTCAGAGCCCACAGTAGTGAGGCTACATCCCATAAGGCCAAGCAAAGCACACTGCAGCCCACCATCCTGCACAGCACCACACCTAAGGCCCTCCCTGCTACAGGTAGCACCTGAACAAGAAAGGCAGCAGCACCACAGCCTGCAACACAGCACAGGTGTCTGACACACACCACATGCACTCACACAAGCAAGCAGTAAGCCTGGGATACTCCAATGCAACACACCCCCATGAGGAACCCAGCCGGCAATACAGTATCTCCCTCTCTTGCTCTCATGCATACACAGACGCTGTGTTCCAGACAGAAGCACAAACAGCTCCCAAACATGTGGGACATGCACACAACATTAGAGCTACTAACAGAGCCAGCTCCTCTTAACCTGTTTTGGGCCCTGGGCTCAGTGCCAGAGCAAACAAGGGTCAACACAATTGAAGCCAAGCAATGGATCAAGCCCTCATAACTGCACATGGGACAGTGAGTTGATAAGAGACTGAGCTCTATGCCCTGGGACTCTGGCAGGGGCTGTTTCTCATCACTGAGGACAAAGGTTGTCTGCATGGGACCAGAGAGGTCCTGAGACAGGATTTCTGGATTGGAATCATCACTTACTGAGGTCTCCCGAAGCTGAGACCTTCCTGGCCCATCTCAGTCCTTCTGTGTTGGGGTAACAGGAGGAGTCATGTTAGGTACCTTGTTCTGGAGTGAGACCTCTGTGGCTGCACTTACCCTGTCATCCGCCCTCTGCCAGTTGGCTCTTTTGCCAGGGACATGGTATGAGCTTTGAGCCCATTCCCGACCCGCTGGTGCGAGGAATCCATCCTCTGCTTCCGCCCAGGCGTCTGAACTAGGCTCCCACTGGGAGAGCCTGCAGTTTGGGCTCTGGCACTCTGGGGAGCAGAGAGTTTGTGAGCGGAAGGCAGAGAAGGCTGATTTCTGTTATCCACTCCTGCCAGACTCCTCATCCAGGCTGCGGAGACATGATCCGTGCGAGGGGTTGCAGGACGGTGTTCCAGGGCAGGAGGAGGGCTGTGCACCCAGAACAGGTTGTATGCCCTGCCCTGGCTCCGGAGTCTCGGCTGGAGCACGCCCCTGCTCCCAGATTCACTTCGGAATGAAGAGCTTGCATCAAATCTTCCAGCAAAGTCTCTCTGAGAATCACCAAGTCCTAGGAAGAGGGCTATCGTGAAAGGGAGGAAACTCCCCCAGGATCCTCTCATGGTGCCTGCCCAGGGCCAGGGGGAAAGGCTAGTTCTGGCAGGAGCAGTGAGCTCTCAGTGTGGGGCTGGCAGCTCCATGAAGCCAAATGTCCAGCCAGAGGTTGGGAGAGAGGGGACTAGACAAAGCTTCTTAAGGAAGCCCCTCTGAACCAGTCCTTTGCTTCTCCATGTCACAGGCGGCTTAATCAGTACCTGCCGCTTGCAGGAGCATGAGAGCCTGAGGCGAAGGTAGCACAGCGAGCCCGACAGCGTGGGCTGCACAGAGCAGCTGCAGCTGTCCCTCCCTACCCCAGTCTCTCCTCTCCCCCTGCCTGTCCCCGCTCTCCTGGCTGTCAGAGCTTGAGCTCTCAGTAGACAGCTTCAAGCACCTTCGTGTCTGCCTCTGGTACTGGCAAGAGTCTGGAGGGGATGGAGGGTTTTATTTTTGGAAACCTCCCCCTTTTGTGTCTTTTTGATGCTGACACCCCCCCTCTGCAGAGGACATGGCTCAGCCCCCCTCCCTATGAGGAGACATTCCAGCAACACCCACTTTGGCAAGGGGAAACAAACTACAACAGAGAAACATTAACCCGTGAGCAACTGGGCAGGTCATTGTATAGCCCACTGACAGCACTCGCGCTCAGGCTCCAGAGCCCTCCCTGCTGCCAAACCAGCCTGCGGCTCGGCTTCCTCAGCTCATAGCAAGCGTTGGATTTCAGCACAGCTTGTAAGCCATCAGTGAAGGTGGAGCAGGCAAGGGGACAGAGGAGCACAATCCAGGACACATTTACCCTACAGAAAATACCCCAGGCTTGGGCCCAGCCCCCCTATGCCACATTGCCCAGCACTTTTTGCCCTCCTGCCTTGGAAAAGGATTGGTGCCACTAGTCGCATTTCACACTTTGGCTCTAAGCCCCACTGGGGCAGGGGCACTGAAGGAGAGAGGCAGCCCCTCTGTCATAGGGAAACCTGACTTTCCCTGACACACTGGGAGGGGAAGAATCTGGCATAAGACATGTAGCAGAGCAGCCGCTAGGGTGGATCCATGCTCTGCTCATCTATATACTGCCATGGGTGCATGCCAGGAATAGACCTATCCAAAGCACCACGTGCTACAGGTCAAAGACCACCCATCCTGCTCCCATGAGGCAAGGTCAGGGGATGGCTCCAGCTGGATGGACAAGGGCAACATAACCCCCCCACACACACACACCTGCCTCCAATGTGAGTATTTGGGGGGTTAGGCACCAGAGGTGTACCTGGCAGTTTCAGTGCCCTGGGAAGAGTATGTGGTGGAGGACAAGGGGGACTGAAGAACCCCCACTCGTCTTTCGCCATTCTGGTGCCCCATCTAAATCAGTGCCCAGAGCTGTTGTCCCTCTCCCCACCCCTGCCCTCCAGTTATACTACTGTTAGGGACTGACTTCAAAAGACCACTTTCTAGTGCCATAGGAAGGGCCTGGTCTAAGGAGAAAGTGCAGGGCCAAGAGTCCCAACTTCTGCCCCATTAAGCCTACCAGCTCCGTGCTCATGGCCAAGCTGCTTCTCCTCCTCCATCCTGTACTGGCCATGTAAAAACTGGTACAAATACTGCCTTTCCTTCCTGGGGGAGCAGGGACTGGACTCCTTCACCAGGCCATCCAGGGGCAGAAAGAATCCTGGCTACACTGCACTTCTGTGATGGCCTCACTTCTCTCTGCAATTGTGGGTGAAAGCTTGATAAATGTCTCCTGGGATCCAGGCACAAAGTGGACAGGAAATGGTTTGGCACATGCTCAAGATGAGGAGGACACATTCATGGCACATACCCTTGCGATAGGCCTGGCTGGGTGTGTTTGCTAATTGGAATCCCAGGCTCACACAGCGATGCAACACCAGAGTGGTCAGGCTCTGGACTCATCTGAGCTGGCCCCCAACCACCAGTAGGCTCATCTTTCTATGTTCACACCAGCAGGAAAAGCCACCCACCACTGGAACCCAGGACTGGCTCTTGTCAGCCTCTATCCAATACACTGTGTAATGAAGATACACCAGATCTATGGTCTCTGAGCAAAGAGGCAGACATGAGGGGAGCTGCCGCCAGATCCTGACCTCTTCTATCACCATCCTCATGCATATTATGGCCTGTCCACCAGACCCCACCTATTCTTCCAGGCACTGTTCTCCTCACACCCATAGGACTCTATCACTCACCAATTTCTGTCTGTCTGCTTCCTCTCTTTCTCTCCTCTGTGGCTCAACAGCAGGTTGCCATTGCTCCCTTTGTTCCTGGGAGTTCTGTAGCAGGTGAGCAGGCTCTGCTCCTTGCTGGGAGCAATGGTGAGAAGGGACCCTCTTGCTACCCTGTTCTGCCTATGCTTTCCAATTTGCTCGTGCAGTTTTCAGTCTCTTTAGTCATGCTCCTAGAACACCACTTGTAAGAAAGCTGATGTTGCCAACGTACTCCTCCCTGTTCAAAAACCTCTCTCTTAGATAACACCTCCTTTCTCATTCCTGGCGGTAATTTCACTGCCCACTCTCCTCTTTTGCACTGGGGCTCACCACCAAGCTCTGCACTCAGCTTCCTCTCAGAGGTCTCAGATTTGTTACGTCAAGGTCAGGATGTTGCTCTCAAGTCTATAATCCAATCCATCCAAGTCCCTGAACCTCCCATTTCCTCCTGTGAGTGGCAAGCTGATTCTTAGTACCACTTCAAACACTGCTTGCGCCAGGCCTGGGTGCCCCTCACTATGTCAGGAACTCTCCCCTCTGTATTTGCTCAGCTGAAATGCTGAAGCTGGCCACAGAGTTCAACTTGCACAGTACCCCTGTCCCAATCTGAAACCTCAGAGACCCATGTGCTCCCCCAGATGAAGAAACAAAAGCAAATTACATGTGTGCACAGCCCCCAGTCTCCTCCCTCACCCACTCTTGGTTCCAGCACAGCTCTGAGACAACTCAAAATCCATGTTCCTGGTTGCTAAAACCCTCCTCTAAGTCACACTGACTGAACTGCCTGCCCTTCAGCTCCTCTTGCTTTTCTGCTCCCCTCATCCACCTGTTCAGTTTCTACTTTCACCATTTCTTGGCACAGTCTTTTTCCTGTCCCTTTCCTCCTACTCTCCACAGTTCAGGCAGGTGAAAATGGGTTGGCAGAGAGGAAGGGAAAGTCACCTGCTCACTTGCACATTCTGGCTGGCGCTGTCTCTCTACCTCCCTACCCCCACCAACCCTACAAGCTCTGGAGTCATGTCTTCTCCAATTCTTAACAGTTGGGTAGACAAGCGTTTCTCAACCTGTGGGTCGCAACCCGAAAGTGGATCGCAAGAATATATGAAAGGGTCGCAAATGAACTTTTAAAATGGATTCTCCATTAAAGGAGAAAAAACTTGGGAAACTGTGGCTTTTCCCTTGCAAGCTGGCAGAGTTCCAGCCTGCAAGGGGCTGCTTGGTGCCCCCCCATGCCCCACACACTGTCCCCCAGCCCCACCCATGGGACTGAGGCCTTGGGGGTGGGAGGCAATGGGTCGGGAGTGAAGGACACTGGGTCTGTATTGGCCAGTAATGTTTACAAATGGGTCCTTGTACCAAAAAGGTTGAGAACCACTGGGCTAGAGAAAGCAAGGTCTTTGTAGGGTGTAATACAGCCATACAACCCTCTGGGTTCAGTCAGCTGGCAATGTAAATGCATGGGCTAGGAGAGGTAATTCTGCTATGACCTCCACCCCTGTTCCTTGCAAGTGTTAACGAACATATCCCACCAAACTCTGTGACAGAAAAATATTACCAGCCCCATTTGACAAGCAGGAAAGCACACAGCCTCTGAAGCACAGAGGGTTAGTAACTCACCCAAGAAAATGCACTGGGTCTGCAGCAGACCTGGGGAGAAAACCCAGAACTCTTGAGTTCCAGTCCTGCACTCACACAAGGTGATGCAGCAGCCCCCATAAACAACAATAACGCTGCCCTTTTTTTTGCAAGAACTACCTGGGAAAGGAACTAAAAGTGATGTGCTAGTGCAGACAAGGATAGAGTTCTTTTCTGTGGCTACCCAAGTTTGGAGATAGAGCTGTGAGGAGGGAAGGGAGCTGGCTTGACTACTGTTTTGACCTTGGTGATAGTCCTGGCTGGTTTATCAGGGAAGTAGATTATTGAGGAAATCCAAGTGGGTGCTCTGGGATTTTCCAGTACATATTCAACCCCCCCTTCTGCATAGCTGAGGTCAAGTCTGCCTGAGAAGCCAACTGTGTGTGTAGCTATTGGATCCAGAGAGCACAGTCTGATACAAGCCATTGCTGGTTTCTTTGTTCTAAAGTGAGAAGAACATCTTCTCCATCTTCACCTAATTGTTTTCTTATGCAGCAGTGGAAAAAATGCTTGATGTCTAAACCTGACACTAAAGAATTATCAATGCCATAAACAAGGCTTGGAAAACAAGGAGCTGGAGGGCCAGGCTTTGTTAAAAACTTGTCTGCACTGAAGTGATTGCAGGCATTCTCTGGATTCATCCTCGATTAGGATGTGAGAAAATACCTTCACACAGGAGGTGCCAATTTGCTCCTTTGGAACAAACAACAAAGTTACTATTTACCCAGTTGATTAAAGCTCTCTGGACATCAGCTCAAGCCCAGACTGCAGGAGGCCAGGGAGAGTTTGGGGTGAGGAATCAGTTCCTTATTGACAGGACCAAGGAACGATAACTATAAACCAACTGAAGCCATTAACAGGCCATCCAATGCCTTGCACAGACTGCAGCTGCCTCGGCCTCAGGCCTGCATGGAGCCAGGTCCAGGGAACTGGCATTGCTTTTGGAATCATTTTTGCTCCTTGTTTACACTAACCCTCCACTTTACACTAACCCTCCGCTTCCTCCATGGAGCTCTTTCCCTTGCTACATACACAAGCGCTCACTTATCATGGGAGAGGGGCTCTGGAGCCGTGCACTCCCTTTTCTAATTCAGGGTTTCTTATGGACCAGGGCTGCACAGGACACAAGCTGAACCCATATTCTGTTACTGCAGGGTTGCTCACATGCTCACCAGGCTGTGTTAGGAGTGAGACCCTAGCTTGTATTTGGCACTTGCCCAGACAGGCATTTCCCCTCTACAACTGCTGCCTCAGTCCTGGAAGGGGAGCAGGAGCCTCGCTGAGAGCCTTGCTAGACTGGCAAGTGTGGGTCACAGAGGCAGTGATGCCTCACCCCACAGGACAGGTTAACACACTGAGGGCTCCATGTGCTGCATTCAGGGCACTGGGGTTACTCTAGTCGTGGGTATTCCTTTTATGTTTGTCCTTCCCTGAAAAAGGACCCATCAGAAACAGGGATGTGCAGAACCCATGGGGAATTGTAACAGAAGTTGGACTTCAGTGTGCTGCTCAGCAGGGATGCAGTAGACGAACATGAACTAATTCAATTCTTAGGAACTCACACAGACAACAGACCCTGGATCGTTCAGGCTATTTGCCTTCAAGATCAAACCCTTATCCAAGAAGAGAGATTAGCAGTGGAAAGATGATGAAAAAGCAAGCCAACAATCCTGAATTTGCAGACCATCTCTGGTGACTGGACAGTCTGGCCACAGGCTTTCAGGAACATATGCTGAAATAACTAAAAGTGCAAACTGACCATGCTGTAAGCCCAGGGTGGGCATTCATATTCTAAAGTTAAGTAGCCTTACTTCATTTTAGCTCAGCTCACTTTGTAAGCTCCTAACCACCATAGAGACACAGAGCCCAAGAAAAGGCAGGCTCAGAAGTTGACTGAGCAGAT